ATACAAGGATACCTGAGTCATCAACATATAATAAAAGCTTATTGCTTAGGGTTGCAGACATGTCATTGACATATTAGATATTAAAAGAGGACCTAAAATGAACCTCAGGGGGACACCATAGGTACTCGCAGCAGTAGTAGAATGAGTACCAGCCACATCTACCAGATGCTGTCTATCAAAGATAAGACTTGAACCATGTAAGAATGTCATTATCTATGGCAGATGCTTGAAGTTTCATGAAGAAGAAGAACTTCTTCATGTGCAGTATAGTGTGATCAACTGTATTAAATGCCTTTTGTAGATCTAAAAGTATCATGTAATACTGCCTTTGCCCAATTAAATTAAATACAATCTGTTAAATGAATCAAATATGTGTCAGTTGAAAAAACACTTGTAAGTCCTGACTGAAACTGCCTGACAATGACTCGAACCCATGACTGTCAGAAGACCAACTGAGCTATCCGGCCGGCTACACATTTTCTCTTTAATAATGAAACAGTTCTAAACCACAACATATTTCCCCACTATTTTGATTTGTGTCCTTGTATTTCTGATGTTTACAGAGCATAGTGAATTAAACTCAGGGTTTTATGCAGTCACAGGATGAGAAAAACTTTCAGCTTGACCAGAAATCGAACCTGTGACCCACAGAATAATGTACCGCGGCTATAGCGATTTTGTTTATTGTTTATTAAAGTTTCGGCTGAAGATATGCGAAGAAAGCATTGAAAGCGCTACCGAATTTACATAGAGTTTGTTATTTCTTAAACATTATAATTTTATATATTTCAACACTGCACAAGGAACATTTATCACGTTTTAATATATATATATATATATATATATATATATATATATATATATATATATATATATGGATTGTCTTCAAACTAATATATAACCGTGTATATATAACCATGTGTATATATTATATAACCATGTTTATATAACTATATATATATAACCATGCATATATCTGTGTATATATTATCGTGTATATATATATATACAGTGCACTCAGGATATAACGAGATCGTCGGGACTTCGGATGATTCCTCGTTATAACCGGGTCTCGTTATAACCGGGACAGAATTGAGAAATCCGACACCGTCGAGCATCATTTATTTCTATTTTCGCTTTCGCGTGCATTCTTTTTGAAGAGTACATAATGGGAGGTAACTCTTTGCAATCAAGTTTTTGTTTTATTTAAATATAATTAAATATACATGTATATAAATATATCTAGCTATCATAGAATTTCAAGAAAAAATATAAACACAACCTAAGTCTAACCGCGTGTGTTTTTTCATTAATATGTACATTTTAAAATTCGTTTTCAAAAGTCACGCAGGGCATTTCTCACGAACACCGAATAACACCGCAAGAAATTAGCCGCTTCCTTTGTGCTAATCACTCAATGAAATTGTTTTGTTATGACATTTCGTCACCTTAAGGACAATTTAGCCCGGAGCGCTGACAAAACAAGGCTGACACATTTGATCGCTAATTGCTCGACCCATTATCTCGTCCCGCGTCAATAATTTCTTCCTTAATTGACCTTTATTATTGGTCATCATTGTTTTTCTCAAGGTGACAAACTGATGCAGACGAAGTGCAAATGAAGTGACCTCGTTAAAATTCTGAAAAATACGCATGGGACGGCGAAATTATGTACGTTGTAACCGATATCTCGCTAAAACCGATCTCGTTATAAACGATAAAAAATGAAAGGAAAATAGAAGGAAAAAGGCCGGGACACAGTAGAATGTACGTTGTAAGCGGTACCTCGTTAAAACCGATCTCGTTATAAGTGGAGTAAGTGGAGTAGACTGTGTATATATATAACCGTGTGTGTATATAACCATTAATTTATAACCGTGTATATATAATTGTGTATATATTTATATATATAATAAAAATATATATAAATAAATGAGTATATTTATATATACAAAATATATAGACAAAACTAATGTGACAAGACAGACCGATAAAATTTATAAAAAGGAAACGTTAAGATTTGTTCAAACATTTCTTTGTTTGCTTTTAGAAAAAGTAAAAAGTCGAGCGTTGCCCCCGCCCGGTGGTGGCTCTTGTTATTATTTATTTCTGGATTTTGCCATTGCTTGAACAAAACAACACTAATCACACAACCAACACTTTAACTAATTTTAATATGACAAATACAATGGTCAAGGTTAAATAATTTAATTATACCCCCACAAACAAAGTTTAAGGGGGTATATAGGAGTCAGCGTGTCCATCTGTTGGTCTGTCAATCCGGCAGTCCGTCCAGATCATGGTTTCCAGACTATAACTAGAGTTAAGAATGAGATATTGTAATTATAACCCCAAAACGAAGTTAGGGGGTATATAGGAGTCACCTGGTGGTCAGTCGGTCGGTCCAGCTGTCCATTGCATTTTCCTTGTCCTGAGCATAACTTGATGACTAATGGTTGGAATTCAATACAACTTCAAAACATGTTCATACAATGGTCAAGCTTAATAAGAGAAAGTGCAGTGCACAAGAACCATAACTCTATTAAAAGAAATAATAAATATAAAGAGTTATTGCCCTTTGTTACTTTTCCATTGCTTTTTCCTTCTCCAGTGTGCGTCCGTGCTTGCGTCAATAATTTCTTTAAACAACTTCTCCACCTACACCTCTTGGTCAAATTTGTTGAAACTTTGCAGGGATATACCTTGGATGAAGCTCTACCAAAGTTGTTCAAAGAATTAGATTCCATAAAGAACATTGGTTGCCATGGCAACCAAAAGATTATTTTATAAAAAATCTTAAAAAATCTTCTTGTAAAAAATTGAAAGAGTTAGAGCTTAGATATTTGGCATGAAACATCTACTAGTGGATGTCTACCAAGTTTGTTCAAACAAAACCCCTAGGGTCAAAATTGACCCCACCCCAGGGGTCATTGATTTTCCTTTTATGTACATGTATATAGTAAAAACTTAAAATCTACTTGTGAAAATCCAAAAGAGCTTAGAAATTTGGCATGAAGCATGTTCTAGTATATGTCTACCATGTTTGTTGAAATAAAACCCCTTGGGTCAAAATTGGCTCCACCCCAGGGGAGTTCAATTCCCAGCCAGGTAAAATTATTGTTTTCCTTCTCTTTTTCCATCATCTTTTTATTAGCTCACCTCTCACAGTGACTGGATGAACTATTAAATAAAATGGCTGCCAGAGCTAAAATTAGAAAACAACAACATCTAAACAACTGGTTCAATTTTGAAATAATTTTACAATTTCCTTGGTGACTGTACAGAAGTTGTTCATATGAAGCTATCTTTTATTTTCAAATTGTGCTTTTGGGGTGAAAATGGGCTCTTCTTTAACATTTTGACCTATTTCTCCTGTGAGTGATCCAGGGCCCTATGGTCTCCCTTGTTTTGTCCAGTGCATTACTTGAAAACTCTATAATGGTTGGAATTCAATGCAACTTCATAAAATGGTCATGCGCAGTGAGATGAAGCGCAATGCATAAAAAGCATAATTCTATTTGGACTAATTACATAGTAATTGCCCTTTGTTACTTTTTCTTGTCCTGTGCATATGAGAGGAAGTGCAGTGCTCAAGAACCGTAACTCTATCTGGACTTATTACATAGTTATTCAATAAAACTTCATCAATGGTCAACCACAGTGAAAGGAAATGCAATGAACAAAAACCACAACTATCTTAAATTGCCTACAACCATAACTCTATTTCAATTCTTTTACAAGGTATTCTGTTACTTGTAACTTCCTCATTTCCAAAGCATTCTTGCGGGGGTATTGATCACATTTAGTAATAGCTTTAGTTAAACTTGATGCATAGCAAGCTTATGTACAGACCCGGTTGGTAATGAAATTGGACCCCCTGGGGTCAAGGTCACCATTACTATAAATAGAAAAATTGGTTTCCGGATAATAACTAGAGTAAGGAATGCGAATTTGTATTCAAACTTGGTGTATAGCAAGCTTATATGAAGACTTGGCTAGTATTGGTTTTGGATCTCCAGGGGTCAAGGTCAATGTCACCGTTCCTAAAAATGGAAAAATGGTTTCTGGACAATTACTAGAGTTAGGAATGAGATATTGTAATTAAACTTGGTGTTTAGCAAGCTTTTATTAAGACCCAGGTTGGTATTGCATATGGACCCCGTTGGGGTCAAGGTCAAGGTCACCATTACTAAAAATAGGAAAATGGTTTCTGGACAATAACTAAAAGCTAGGAATGAGGTATTGTTATTGAACTTGGTGTAAAGCAAGCTTTTGTGAAGACCCCAGTTGGTATTGCATTTGGACCCCCTGGGGACAAGGTCACCATTACTAGAAAAATGGTTTCCTGACAATAACTAGAGTTATGAATGAGATATTGTTATCAAACTTGGTATTTAGCAACTTTATGTGGAAACACTTGTTGTTATTGCACTTAGATTCCCTGGGGTCAAGGACAACTTTTCTAAAAGTATAAAAATGGTTCCCGGACAATAACTAGAGTTAGGAATGAGATACTAGAAATCAAACTTGATTTATAGCAAGTTTATATGAAGGTTGCAATTAATTGAAATATTTCTTGTACACAGTTGGTACTTTTAAGGTTGAGTTCAAATTTTTCTTCAGACCCTATTTATTTTTAAAAAATCAAAGCTGTTTTTTTTTTTGGGGGGGGGGGGGGGGGGTTTAATCACCTTTAGCTCAAGTTTTGCTTAAATTGTGATTGCTTATTTACAGATTTAATACATATTGGTGAAAGTTTTTTATGACACCATCAACATGTTGAATCATTAAGTACAAGCTGCCAAATTTACTTCATTTCTTAAAAAAGAATGTTCTTCCTCTCATGTGTCTGCCTTTGAAAATAGGAAAACTCTTGGCACCTCTTGAAGTTGGCTCTTGTTAATGTTTGTATTATTATTATTTATTACCATGTTATAAAACTTGTTCAGTTACATATTTGAGAAGAATACAGAGTACTGTAAATATTTATTATTTTAAAGGTTGGCCATTGTAGTGGAAAACACCATTAAGTCATTACAAGAAGCAGCCAATCACGTAAGTATGATAAGCTTGACTTTTTTTGAAGAAATTTTTTCAGCTTTTGCTACAGTCAGGCTGTCGTTCCTGTTACCATTGCCGTTCAGAAAATTTTACATTAGACATTTTTATCACAACTTTAAAAAAAAAAAAAAATAGAGGTAGAGGTATTATTACAGTCGGCATTGACTTTGCTGTCTGCAAACTTTAACCATGATCATAACTTTTTTAACTCAACAAGACTTGCTACTGAAGAATTTACATATTGAATTACTTACACTGAGAAAAATATACTGATATAAGGGAATATACGGTCCCGTATTTTTGACATATACGTCGTGTACAGGAAGTATTTGTCAAATATACAGACCAAGTATACGAGTCTGTATAGGGAACTCCGGGTATATGGGAAGTCTGTATATGGATCAGACATATACGGAATTCCTTATTCTACATATACACAGGATATACGGAATCGTATTTTCTACATATACATATGATATACGGAATGGTATTTTCTACTTTCTACATATACAGAAGATATACGTAATCGTATTTTCTACATTTACAAAGGATATGAGGAATCGTACTTTCAATATATCAGGGGATATACAGAATTGTATTTTTGAGTTGTATACAGGGTATACAGAGTTGTAATTTCGAGATAAAAGAGGGGTACAGATAGAATAAAAAGCATTCATTCTCATGTAATTGATACGCATACAGGACTGAAATACAGGCTTGTACATCAGTACATGTTTGATTAGAGAACTGTATATTTATATGCTTAAGAAATTTATCTTCACAATTGGAGTAAGTAAAAACAAAATCTTGTCACTCTTAAATATTTATTAATTCATAAACATATATACAATATGTATACATATATAAAACAAAATAAACATATCTATGACTCATATATTAAATGTAAGCAGAACACCTGTGCCGCGATATTTCCTTCAATGGTCGAATTTATAATACATGTACATTTTTCGATATTTTCAAGCCTTAACCTTTATGAATTGCATGTTGTTTAAATTTAGAACAAACTATATCTACTTAAAGTTCTTTCTTAACAATGATTTTTATGAGCTACTAATGTTACACTCATATATTTTTAAAGATTAAAATATCATTTGGTCGTGTTAACATTCAAATGTTATTTCAGGAAATGAAGCAGTCATTAGCACAAATTGATTACTTAGGAAAGTTTTCTTCAAACTTTACTCAAATGTTCACCTCAACAAGGTTATGTGCAGAACCCATGTTACCGTTGTGCCAGCTTAAGGTCAAGGTCACACTTGAAGGTCAAAATTGACTTAGAAAATGTTCTAAAATTTTAACATGTACTTGAATATTTCTGAAACTAGAGAAGGTATTTGCTTGAAACTTAAAAGATATATGAGGCATCACAAGTAAGATAAGCCCCTTTTTGAGTCTTTAAATTTACATACAATCAATACTAGACAATTTGTCGTGTCCGCTTTATTAATTCTATACCCTGTATATAGATTGGGCATACTTACTATTAGATGACCACTATTGATTTTGGGGTCACTAGGTCAAAGGTCAAGATCACAGGGCCTTATATATTAGAATGGTTCCGCTGAAAATCTTGAAAAGTGCTCATCACTAAGTCTTCATATTTCACACAGTGCTTGATCATAACTAGGAGATGACCCCCTATTGATTTTGGGATCACTAGGTCAAAGGTCAAGGTCACATGTGCCTTAAATGTCAGAATGGTTTCTGCTCATTATCTTGGTTATTATTGATCACAAAGTCTTCATATTTCACATATTGATTGGTCATAACTAGTAGATAATCCTTATTGATTTTTGGGTCAAAGGTCAAGGTAACAGGGTCCTTGAATGGTAGTATGATTTCAACTCATTACCTTGAAAGCTTCACAAAGTCTTAATATTTTACATACTGATTGGTCATAATCAGTAGATGACCCGTATTGATTTTGGGTCATAAGGTCAAAGGTCAAGGTCACAGGGGCCTTAAATGTCAGATTTGTTTTGGCTTATTATCTTGAAAAGTATTTATCACAAAGTCTTCATATTTCACATACTGATTGGTCATAAGTAGTAAGTGATCCCTATTTATTTTGGGGTCACTAGGTCAAAGTTGAAGGTCACAGGTCCTTGAATGTAAGTATGGTTTCTGCTCATTATCTTGAAAGCTATTTATCACAAATTCTTCATATTTCTTTTATTGATTGGTCATAACTATTAGATGACCACTATTGATTTAGTGTCATTAGTTAAAAGGTCACGGTCACAGGGGCCTTAAGTGTCAGAATGGTTTCCTCTCATTTTCTAGATTTTGGGTCACTAGTTCAAAGGTTTAGGTCACTAGGGCCTTAAATGTCAGAGTGGTTTCCTCTCATTATCTTGTAAACTATTTATCAAAAAGTCTTCATATTTCACATATTGATTGGTCATAACTAGTAGATAATCCCTATTGATTTTTTGGGTCACCGGGTCAAAGGTCAAGGAAACAGGGTCCTTGAATGGTAGTATGATTTCAACTTATTACCTTGAAAGCTTATCATCACAAAGTCTTCATATTTTACATACTGATTGGTCATAATCAGTAGATGACCCGTATTGATTTTGGGGTCACTAGGTCAAAGGTCAAGGTCACAGGGGCCTTAAATGTCAGAATGGTTTCCGCTATTATTCATATTTCACATACTGATTGGTCATAAGTAGTAAGTTATCCCTATTGATTTTGGGGTCACTAGGTCAAAGTTGAAGGTCACAGGGTCCTTAAATATAAGTATGGTTTCCGCTCATTATCTTGAAAGCTATTTATCACAAATTCTTCATATTTCTTTTATTGATTGGTCATAACTATTAGATGACCCCTATTGATTTAGGGTCACTAGTTAAAAGGTCAAGGTCACAGGGGCCTTAAGTGTCAGAATGGTTTCTCTTATTATCTTGAAAACTATGCATCACAAAGTCTTCATATTTCTTATATTGATTGGTCATAACTATTAGATGACTTCTTTTGATTTTGGGTCACTAGTTCAAAGGTTGAGGTCACTGGGGCCTTAAATGTCAGAGTGGTTTCCTCTCATTAACTTGAAAACTATCACAAAGTCTTCATTATTTTTCTTTTTTTAATAACTGAACACTTCCATGTGCCCATTTATGGCAAGTTTCTATAAAAAATAACCAATAATGTGAGTCAAGGGCTAGAAAGGGGGTGAGGGCATATATGTTGTTCGACATTTCTTGTTAATGTATTGTCTTCATACATTTATTAAAATATGGATTTAATTTATACAAAACAACCCTTATTACAAACTGGTACAGTCGACTCCACTTATAACAAACTCACTTATAATGAATTATCGTTAATAGCGAACCAAATCTGACATCCCTGGCCGATTCCCTCTTCATTTTATATTAAATCACATCGCTTAATACGTACTCGCTTATAACGAATTTTCAGCTATAACAGACGATTTTTTCAAGTCCCAAATAATGTAAATTTCCTCGGTTATAACAAACAGTTATAATTGAAATATCGGGATGCACTTGATTAGGATCAGTACATGAATAACGCTGTCCGATAATTATGCAATCGAATGATTGCACAGGTTAGTTATGGTTTCAGGGAATAAAGATTTTAATACAATGTTGTCAAAACATAATTTCCTACTAATGTTACGGAAAAAATTTATTTTGCACCCTCAGTTGATTGCCGTAATACCCGATAATTACCAAATAACAATTTGTTTGTAATATTAACCAAACAATAATAAACAAAAAGCAAAAGAATACTTTATAGACAAGTACTACATGAATAAATACATGTACCATGTACATAATATATTGTTCAATAAAATGCCCCGATTAAATAACCATTAAATAACCGCTGCAGTAACATACCGGTTACACAGGTAACCAGTGAAAAGTATGACTTTTTCACGCCAAATTTCCCCATCCAAACAAGTCAGCAAGTTGTTGCTACTTCGCTTTTAGCAAACTTCAGATATAACGAACGATATTTTAATGTCCCATTGAGTTAGTTATTACCGGAGTCGACTGTATGTTGAAAATTTCATGACACTGATCTTTTTTACCTCGACTGTCATGTCAAATTATAGAAATTTGCTAAAATTGTCATAACTTTGTTATTATCCCCCGCGGATGGAATCTGGAGGGGGATATAGTTTTGGCGTTGTCCGTCCGGCCGTCCATCCGTCCGTCCGAATTTCGTTTCCGGAGTAGTTCTCTGCAACTACTGGCTTGAATTCAACAAAACTTTATGGGAATCATCAATATCAAGAGGAGATGCGCATATCGTCGGCTTGTTCCAGTCCGACCCTTTAACTCAGAGTTATGGCCCTTGATTAGTTATGTAGTATGCATATAGAGTAAAAATCGTTTCCGGAGTAGTTCTCTGCAACTACTTGCTGGAATTCAACGAAACTTTATGGGAATCATCAATATCAAGAGGAGATGCGCATATCATCGGCTATTTCCGGTCAGAGACTTTAACTCAGAGTTATGGCCCTTGATTAGTTATGTAGTATGCATATAGAGTAAAAATCGTTTCCGCACTACTTCTCTGCAACTACTGGCTGGAATTCAAGGAAACTTTATGGGAATCATCAATACCAAGAGGAGATGCGCATATCGTCGGCTTGTTCCGGTCAGACACTTTAACTCAGAGATATGGCCCTTGATTAGTTATGTAGTATGCATATGGAGTAAAAATCGTTTCCGCGCTACTTCTCTGCAACTACTGGCTGAAATTCAATGAAACTTTATGGGAACCTTCAATACCAAGAGGAGATGCGCATATCGTCGGCTTGTTCGGGTCAGACACTTTAACTCAGAGTTATGGCCCTTGATTAGTTATGTAGTATGCATATAGAGTAAAAATCATTTCCGGAGTAGTTCTCTGCAACTACTGGCTGGAATTCAACAAAACTTTATGGGAATCATCAATATCAAGAGGAGATGCGCATATCGTCGGCTTGTTCCAGTCCGACC